ATCCTATGTCGATCCCATCGAAGGCCAGATTAAAGTGTCACGTACTGGCAAGACGCTGTACGTCAAGCCGGTAGATGAACTCGCAGAGAATGAGGACTTATCGCGAGTCGAAGACGACACTGGCTTGTTTTCTCAAACCCGTAGCACAAGCAATGGATCGAGTGCTAAGTCTACCCGCATTCACAAGAAGGATGGCGAGAAGCTGGGCAAAGTTCGCGATTTTCCTGGTGTTCGCCTGTACGCTGAGCGAGGTGTGACCTTCTGGCGCTTCAATATCGAAGTCGAACTTGGCAGTAGCCAAACACGCATCGCATACAAGATCAACCAAGGCCCCGCCATCGGCTTCTGGGTCCCAGCTAAAGGAGAATCCATGAACATCATGTTTCACAGCTGCAACGGATTCTCGGCCACCGTTGATTCAAATGAATTCTCCGGTCCAGATCCGCTATGGCGCGATGTACTGAACACACATCAGACCCGCCCGTTCCATGTAATGATCGGTGGAGGTGACCAGATCTACAACGATGCTGCAATGAGGGAGACGACCTTATTCAGGCAGTGGACCGAAAACAGAAATCCTATGCACAAGCATCACCAGCCATTCTCCGAGGAGATGCAAAACGAGCTCGAGCAGTTCTACCTCGACCGATATGCGATGTGGTTCTCGCAGGGTTTATTCGGTATGGCTAATTCACAGATCCCGATGGTGAATATTTGGGACGACCACGACATTATCGACGGCTTCGGATCATATCCCCACCACTTCATGCAAACGCCAGTGTTCACGGGTGTTGGTGCTATCGCTTTCAAGTACTACATGCTCTTCCAACATCAATCAGTACCCGCAGAAACTGACAAGACCGAACCGTCATGGCTACTTGGAAAGAGCCCAGGCCCATACATCAAAGAGCGCTCTCGAAGCGTCTTCATGCAGCTTGGCCGGCAGGTAGCATTCCTCGGTCTCGACTGCCGTACAGAGCGACAACGGGACGAGATCCTCACCGAGGATTCCTACGACATTATCTTTGACCGTCTAGAAGACGAGATTATCAAGGGTGAGACCAAGCACTTGATCGTGCTTCTTGGTGTACCTATCGCCTACCCTCGCCTGAACTTCCTCGAGAACATACTCACGAGCAGGCTTATGGATCCTCTCAAGGCCCTTGGTCGTGCGGGGATGTTGGGCAACTTTGTCAACAAGTTCGATGGAGGTGTAGAGATCTTGGACGACCTAGACGACCATTGGACAGCCAAGCACCACAAAGAAGAGCGCAACTGGTTCATCAAAGAGCTACAACACATTGCTTCGACCAAATCTGTACGCGTTACCATACTTGGTGGTGACGTCCATCTAGCAGCCGTTGGTCAATTCTACAGCAACAAGAAGTTGAATGTTCCCAAGGACAAGGATCACAGATACATGCCGAACGTGGTATCTTCAGCCATAGTCAACACACCGCCTCCAGACGTGATGGCAGATATCATCAACAAGCGCAACAAGATACATCACCTCGATTCGGAAACAGATGAAGACATGATACCCCTGTTCACTCATGGCGTCGACGGCAAGAAGAGAAACAACACTCATCTGCTGCCCCACCGAAATTGGTGCAGCATTCGAGAGTATAAGCCAGGCTCTTCACCACCAGGGACACCATCACCACCCTCGACTCCGAAGAATGGACCGGGTATGGGAAGATCGATGTCAGACTTTGCACCAGGACAGTTGGTGAGAAGACTGAGTGGCCAGCAGCGAAGACCTTCAGCAAGAGGTCGTGGTCCGCCTCTGTCTTATCGCAATAATCCTGCATATGCTGCTGCCGACGAGGAGCAAATTGGCCACCATCAACCACAGTCGTCATTCTCGCCTGATCGATCCGAGCCAGAGAGGCCCGCTCGTTCACGACGCAACTCTTTGACATCACTCTTCCGTCGCCGTGCATCAGTCGATGCCGCCCGTCCTGACACGTCCGAGAGTGCGACACCTCCCCTAAGTCGACACAGTTTGTCGCAGGATAGACCATCCAACTTTCACCGCCGTCCGAGTGTACTCACTAAGAAGAGTGCGCAACACCACGGTCAATTCATCAATCTTGAGGGCGGTCTTGACATCTGTCTCAATGTCGAAGTATCACAGCACGACCCGGCGGGTATTACAACACCATATCGACTGCTAGTACCAGCCCTTACCTATGTCGAGCCTGAGGATGGCGTTGTCGAGAAAGGAAGAACCAAGTCCCGTGGTTTCTTTGGCGCCTTCGGTGGCAAGCGCAAGGCCACGATTGGCGACGACGGAAACTCCATTTCGGGCAGTGAAAGCGGAAGCGAACTTGGGGAAATCTCGAGCGAAGATGAGGAAGAACGCCCAGAACAGAAGTACAAAGTCGGACCCCGGATAATCATGCCGGGCTTTGGGTCTGGCAAAAGGCGTAACTCTGAGTCTGGTACCACCGCTCCCGTCATCTCCACTGGCCCTGCTGTTCCTGCTGCCCGTGAGAACCTTCTTAGTTCAGGTTTTCATGCTAACACAGCTGCAAACATAGCTCCAACCCAGACGAATGGAACACCTCGCAACCTCGCCCCAGAAAACTATGGACGGCGAAGCATGGATGCAGCTGCAGGTACTTCATCCAGAGCCTCTGCGTGGGAGAACGTTGCCGCAAAACGGCACGTCAGTCAGCCGGCACCTCCCTCCGCTACCCAGACGACGACCCAAACGACAGTGGTGCCATCCCGCTCCGCCTCCACACGCAAGCAGCCTACCTATAACTCGTCTCACAAGTCACAAATGCCTGCGCCTTCTCCAGAGGCAACGCCAAAGGTGCAGAGAAGATCTATGGGCGGTATTTTGAATCAACATTCACACGACAAGAAATGGGAGCATGATGCTCACGTCCTTGCTCATACACCATCACAAAAGAAAGCGAAGCGCGAATCATACCCGCCACATCCAGCGATCGTCGGCGCCGGTCCGAACTCGCCTTACTCACGAGATGGAGGAGGCCTCCAAGCCAGACAAGACACAGCAGGTGGTGACTACTTCACCAGTGGTGGCCGGGACGGGAAGACTCATCCTGCCATAGCGCCCAGGCATGTCGTAGATCCGGAGTACACCGAGAAACCAGTCCAACGTGCCGACTATGCTGCACAACCACAACGAAGTGGTTACGACCGTACCTCTTCCTACCCTGCCTATCCACAACGCAACGGCAGTGCTGGTGTTGGGGCAAAGTACCTTGGCGGAGGCAGATACGATGACGAAGAAGACAGCTTCGATAGCGCCGATGAGGATGAGGAAAGCCAAAGTGGGCAAGAGCAGGAGATGAGTCAGGAAAGTTTCGTTGTACCGAAGCGCAAGAAGAAGTGGCAGATTTGGAGGTAACGGGCATCAGGTTTGCTTTGGCTGGTTTTAATGCAATTGGCGTCTGGCTAGACGCGAATTGGTAATGATATTATGAATGGGTACATGACTGGTTGGGCTGCGGCTCAGGGTACATAATGACGGCGTAGCGTATACCATGGTGTGTTTAGCAGGTTTGGCATAGCGAGTTTGGTTGCTTCGAAATATTCTAATATATCGTTCTGGTATTCTCTTACCTATTTCCCCTTGCCAGCACAACACTTCAGTCGCACAAGACGCTTTCGAATGCAATGAACGACATAGTGCCGGCTCTGGACCTGTTGTCCATCCTAAACCCGGAAATAGGTTCCTACAGACTATAGAGCTGAAGCCTACGCAGGAGATGTTGGATGCGATGAAGACGTGGCTCTTTGCGATCTCGTAGCTCGATACCCAGTCCTTTGCCACATGCAGCCGAGACACTCATTCGTTTTGAGATAATACAAATTCAGCTCTGTTTTCGGCTCATTCTTCTACACCTTCTCGCGAAAATGAACAGAGAGAGCATCAGCTTGTACAGTAGTAATGTTGACCTAGGACGAGATGTGTGGAATCGTAGCAGGTGGGTAGATAGGTAAAAAGAAACATCACTGTGCAAGGACAACCCCGCCTACAAAAAGACAGCTCCTTCGCAAGTGAGCGATGCGTGAACATTCACCATGTCGCACAAAAGAGCAAAAAATGAGATGAGTCTCTAGTCCTGGTGGGGCTGGGAGACCTGTTAGTAAAGAAACTCGAATCACTCTATCATGGAAATCACGTACTTCGAACCCACGGCATCCGCATAACCTTAGATGAGGTCATAAGAGTCTGACGAATCTTATAAGAACGGCGCGCTACCACTGCGCCACAGGACTTTTTTTGTCCCTGGACTTGTTTTTGGATTTCTCGAGAAATAATAACAACATAAAGTGATACGTACGCGACAAAACGTCGAGCTTTGCTTTGACCAAGTCATCGCAATCGTTCGACATCGCACAGATAGCAAGGGCGGGGCAATGCAAACGTCGGTGAGTGATGACACAAAGAACGCCGCTAGCCGGTGGGGTGGCTGGCGTGAGGGGGTCGGCCAACCACATCCGCTTAGATCCATCTCGCGACATCTACCACGGTGCTCTCTCTTGCAACCATTACTCCACATCTTATACAACCACCTGCCAGACGCGTAGAGCTGTCGTCAAGTCTCCCAAAGAATTTATCATTTGGTAAGCCGCTATTCCAAGCCTCTCTTATCAACCCGTAGACTTCCTTCTTCATGCGTGGCGGGCGTCCTAGGTCGTTGCTTCTTTGGGAGTATGGAGCTTGACAGCAAGATACATTCAGCCATGAACAAAAGCTATTCGCAGTCGTCAACCAGTTATCTGCTTGACGATGCGATGAATCCGGTCATGCTCCACATCGAGTCTGGATATATGCTCGTCATCCTCGGAGTTGGGTCTACACCGCTTCTGAAGCTTTACCAGCACCAAAAGACCCTGTAGCTGCATACCTAGGTAGTGAGCTCAACAGAATGGCTCAGGATCTGGAAATAGGTATCTTCTTATCCCAAGAGTGGAACTGACATCTCACAGAGGTACCTTCTTCTAAGGCCTGTTCCAGTATGACGATCAGAGCTAGCAGATTCACACCTGAAGTGCTCTTGGAAGCACCCCGCCGTTCGGAGGGCGTTCCAAATTCCAATGCATCAAGAGTTTTATACTCCGTCTCGACATACAGCTTCTCTGAGCATTCGAAGAAATCTGAGATCCGTGTTCTGGATTCAGCAAGCCAACAAACCAGTCTCGTCACAGATGATGCATCCTTCAGCGAACCTTCGTGGCTAGATGATGAAACCATATTACTATTGAAGTCCAATGACGATGGGACTACAAACATAGTCGTTGGATCTCCAGACAACTTCGAGAAGAGGTATGTTCGGTGCTATCATCCCGAGTGTACGCCAGCTAATAATGCTCTAGCAAACACACTGCTGGCACGATACAAGGACCAGTAAGCGACTCCAAGATCTATGCTCTTGGTGGCGGCGTCTTTGGTCTCGCTGTCGTTGGCAAAGCCAAGCCAGATGGCACACTTTTCAACCCAGAGAAGGCCGAGAAACCTCACTCATCAGGCAAGCTGTACAAGTCTGGGTTCGTTCGCCACTGGGATCATTACGTGACAGAGAATCGGAACACGATATGGCTTGGCAAGCTTCAGCAGAAGAAATTGGAAAAGTCTCATGTCTTCGAGCTTGGACATCCTCTAACGAATGCGCTGAAAGGGACGAAGCTGGAGTCACCAATCGAACCCTTTGGTGGGAAAGACCACTTCGACATATCGAAATACGGTCTCGTGTTCACATCGAAGGATCCTGATCTTAATCCCGCGACGCACACGAAAACCAACATTTATGTTTCCGCATCTGACAGCTTCTGGGATGATCTCCACTCAAAAGACATGCCGGAAATCCAAAAGGCTACCATCGAAGGCTTTGAAGGTGCCAGCACGTCTCCAGTCTGGTCAAACTCGCGCGGTATGATCGCGTTCCTTTCCATGAAAACTGATGGGTACGAGTCAGACAAGAACCAACCGTTCATTATCCACGATTATAAGAAACCGTCGCAAGTCACTCTGCTCTACGGTTCTGAGGATGGTAAAGGAAAGTGGGACCGAAGCCCACAGTCCATATCGTGGAGCCCCGACGACTGGCGCCTCTACTTTACCGCAGAGTCACATGGTCGTGGAAACCTGTACAGCGCCGGGCCTCCTAAACCAAGCGGAGAGAAGGAGCCTCTGCCATCGCTTCTTGTAAAGGGGGGAACGATCGGCTCTGCAAAGGTGCTCAAAAATGGCGACGTTTTCGTGACTTCGACTAGCTTGATTGAGAACTCACTATACTCCCTTGTCCCTCTAAGCGCTCAAAGCAGCGATACGACTGTCTACGATCTTCCTATTGATGATAGACCGTATGATGCGGATCCTGATCATCTGACAACCAAATACATCTCTTCGAACACGCGTTCTGGGTCTATGTTTGGTCTGTCACGCCATCAGATCGATGAGATCCATTGGGACGGTGCCGCATCCGGCACCAAGGTTCATGCTTGGGTTGTAAAGCCCAGCAATTTCTCGTCCAAGAAAATTTATCCGCTCGCCTTTCTCGTTCATGGCGGACCGCAAGGTGCATGGACTGATGGATGGAGTACGCGGTGGAATCCTGCCGTATTCGCAGAGCAAGGCTACGTTGTCATTTGCCCGAACCCTACTGGAAGTATGTGGATCCAAGGTATATACTCTACGAAGACAAACACTGACATGATATCTTAGGCACATCTTACGGCCAAGCCTTCACAGATGCCATCCAGGGCCAGTGGGGTGGTCTGCCGTACGAAGACCTTGTGTTGGGCTTCGACTACATCAAGCAGAACGTCAATTACGTTGACACAAAACGCGCCGTTGCCCTCGGTGCCTCCTATGGCGGGTATATGATGAACTGGATTCAAGGACACCCTCTCGGCCGCGAATTCAAAGCCTTGGTAACCCACGATGGTGTCTTTAGCATGTCCGGCCAGATGGCATCTGAAGAGTTGTACTTCCCTTTCCATGATATCAAAGGCACACTCTGGAATAACCCGGAAAACTGGGCCAAGGTAAGTCATGACTGGATGAGATGCAAGTGGGACGTGTGCTGACTTCGTATCTTCACTTCTACAGTGGGACCCGTCCAGGTTCACGGAAAACTGGGCCACACCGCAGCTCGTAATTCACAGCGAATTGGATTACAGGCTAACGATCAGTGAGGGTTTGGCGGCATTCAACGTGCTGCAGTGTAAAGGAGTAGAGAGCCAGTTCTTGACGTTCCCAGATGAGAACCATTGGGTGCTGAAGCCCGAGAATGGGCTCGTTTGGCATAAAGTTGTTTTGGACTGGATCAACGAGCATGTCGGATTGGAGAAGTACACGGAGGCCCAGAAGGTGATCAAGAAGGAGTAGCGTTTTATTAGCCACCTCTTACGATATGATATGTTTCATGTTCCGTGCGGACACATGACGTGCCTCGTTGTCGTATATGCGTTCTCGTCGTTACAATATGATGTGAACGTTCGTGATGAGAAGAAGCTTGCATGTATATAGATTCGCCTGTTTGATCATGCTTTCAAGGTACTCGCTATTTTTTGTGTCAATGTTTGATGAGACGAAATCCTGTAGTCGTGGTTGAAATGTTAGTGTCATTGTTCCCGTACACGCTGCGCTTGGAGGTAGCGCGTTGGTGCTATCGATAAGAGATCCCTGGATTATTTTCTCGGGCGGCTCGTCGCGACCAGAACTTTTCCTCACTACGCAGCCCATTACCCACCACAACAAGGGCCACACGAGTCGCCGCCCGTCAAGTTACCCGATACTGTTTCGCGACCCAAACACTATCGAGAGATCGCTTGCGCCACCCTAGACCCGCTCGTTATCGAAGAAGAGGCGGCAACGCCTGCGGAGCTCTCAAGATGCCGAAGAAAGCTATCGACTCCCGTATACCGGCCCTCATTCGCAATGGCGCCCAGGAAAAGAAGCGCAGCTTCTTCGTAGTAGTTGGCGATCGCCAGAAAGATGTCATTGTCAATCTCTACCACATCCTTCTGAACGTGGATGTCAAGTTGAACAAGTCGGTGCTGTGGGCGTACAAGAACAAGCTACTAGGATTCTCAAGTCACCGCAAGAAGCGCGAGAAGAAGATCAAGAACGAGATCAAGCGTGGGATCCGCGATGTCGACACCGAAGACCCGTTCGAACTATTCGTCTCGACACAGAATATCCGATACGTCTACTACAAGGAAACCGAGAAGATTCTGGGTAACACATACGGCATGTGTATCCTGCAAGACTTCGAAGCGCTTACGCCGAACCTACTAGCAAGGACGATAGAGACGGTCGAAGGCGGAGGACTGGTCATATTGCTGCTAAAGGGCATGAGCAGCTTGAAGCAGCTATACACAATGTCCATGGACATTCATTCAAGATATCGGACCGAGGCTCACAGCGACGTGGTAGCGCGTTTCAATGAGCGCTTCTTGTTGTCACTCGGAAAGTGCGATAGTTGCTTGGTTGTCGATGACGAGCTGAACGTGCTCCCCATCTCAGGCGGAAAGCATGTTAAGCAGCTACCGCCACCAGACCAAGAGTTGGAGGGCAAGACACCGAAGGCGAAAGAGTTGGCCGAGATCAAGGAGTCGCTAGCAGACTCGCCTCCAACTGGAGACTTAGTCAAGCTCGCAAAGACTGTAGACCAAGCGAAGGCGTTGCTGACATTCGTGGAGGCTATTGTCGAAAAGACGCTTCGAAGCACCGTGACCCTGACCGCGGCCCGTGGACGTGGAAAGTCAGCAGCTTTGGGTGTTGCAGTGGCAGCGGCAGTAGCGCATGGATACAGCAACATCTACATCACATCACCTAGCCCGGAGAACTTGAAGACGCTTTTCGAATTTATTCTCAAGGGATTCGATTCCCTAAACTATGCAGACCATCAAGACTACACCATCATGCAGTCTACACAACCGGATCAGAACAAAGCTATCGTAAGAATCGAGTTACACCGCCAACACCGACAAGTCATCCAATACATCAGACCCGAAGACTCGCATGTCCTAGGACAAGCAGAACTCTTGGTTATTGATGAGGCTGCAGCAATCCCTCTCCCACTCGTACGGAAACTCATGGGGCCATACCTGGTTTTTATGGCCTCGACCATCAACGGATACGAGGGAACTGGTCGTTCGCTCTCTTTGAAGCTCATACAGCAACTTCGCGAGCAGTCGCGAGGCAAGGGTAGCAATGGCTCGACTTCCGTGGTAGACCGTTCGACTGGAAAGGAAACAAAGGACGCTACAGAGACATCTATGACCGGCCGATCTCTCCGGGAAATTACACTGTCAGAACCTATTCGATATGCCCAAGGTGATTCTGTCGAACGATGGATGAACGATCTTCTATGTCTTGATGCAACACTACCCCGAAGGTCGATCACCCAAGGATGCCCTCATCCGGACAAATGCCAGCTCCTTCATGTCAACCGCGATACCCTCTTCTCCTACAACCCTGCTGCCGAGAAATTCCTTCAGAAGATGATGGCGTTGTATGTAGCTAGTCACTACAAGAACACGCCCAACGACCTCCAGCTCATGTCAGATGCACCTGCACATCAGCTCTTCGTACTCACTGGACCTACGGAGGAGAACAAGCTCCCTGAGCCTCTCTGTGTCATCCAAGTAGCCCTTGAAGGCCAAATCAGCAGGGAGAGCGTGTTGAACAGCCTGAGCAGAGGACAGCGTGCGGGCGGTGATCTCATCCCTTGGATCGTTTCACAGCAATTTCAAGACGAAAACTTCGCCAGTCTTTCAGGAGCTCGTATTGTGCGAATAGCAACTAACCCAGAGTATGTCAACATGGGATACGGATCAAAGGCGCTACAACTTCTTGTTGACTTCTACGATGGCAAGCTTGCTAGCTTGTCGGAAACCGAGCCCCAAGAGGTGGAACAGATGCGAAGAGTGACAGAGGAAGATTTGGAGAATGAGTCGCTCCTCAAAGACAATGTCAAGATTCGGGAAGCTAACGAGATGCCACCGCTGTTTGCCCGGCTACAAGAGCTGAGGTCGCCAAAGCTCGACTATGTTGGTGTTTCGTATGGCCTTACATCTCAACTTCACAAGTTCTGGAAACGCGCGTCCTTCGTCCCGGTTTACCTCAGGCAAACACCGAATGATCTCACCGGAGAACATACGTGCATTATGCTGCGTTCGCTCGAAACCACTTCGTCAGACGGAAGCTGGGTTGCTGCTTTCGCTAAGGACTTCCAGAAGCGCTTCCTCTCCCTTCTGTCATACCAATTCCGGTCATTCCCCTCAATCACCTCTCTTTCAATAGAAGAGTCCGCATCAGCGGGATCTAAACTAGACGCCGACCTCGCCGCGAAACCCATTAGCAAAGCCGAATTGGACGCTCTCTTTACGCCTTTCGACCTCAAGCGTTTAGACTCTTACGCGAATAACATGCTTGACTACCACGTCATTCTAGACATGTTGCCTCCCATCGCCACTCTCTTCTTTACTGGTCGTCTCAAGGGCCAAGTCAAACTTAGCGGTGTTCAGACTGCACTACTTCTTGCTATTGGGCTGCAACGCAAAGAGTTCTCCGATGTGGAAAAGGAACTCAACCTCAACTCTAGTCAGCTGATGGCCATGTTCGTCAAGATTGTACGAAAGGCCGCCACAGCATTCCGCGGTATAGTAGAGGGCGCCGTTGAGGAGACTATGCCCGACGCTATGGAGGTAGAAGAGAATGGCGCTGATGGCGAGGCCGCCAATGACGCCCACCGCTTCATGCCCCTTGAGAAGGATTTACAGGAGGAGCTTAGGGAAGGCGGGGATGAGTTCCTGGCCGAAGACAAGGAAAGACAAAGGAGCATGATTGATGCTTTGCCTCTGCACAAGTAAGTCCATCAAAAACGACCTTACGTCCACTTATACGCATTGCTGACCTTGCTACCCAACAGATACGAAATTGGTACAGGAGCTGCTGACTGGGAAGAAGCCGAACGCGCTATCCAAAACGCGGCCAAGAAAGGCGGTGCAGGTAGCATGACTGTCGCTGTCAAGACAGGCGAGAAGAAGAGGAAAGTCGGCGAGGCGGTTGAGGAGGCGTACAAGGAGGCTGAGAAGTTCAAGGAAGGTGCTGCCAAGAAGAGTAAGAAGCACAAGTCTGGTAAGAAGGCTTGATTGGAAACGCGTCGTGCATGCATAATTAGGGAGTTTCTCAGGCGTATTGTTCATCTATGGGAAAATCGGTGCTGTCTGTGTATAAGTACTCAATCAACTAGTCCAGGATTGATGTCTCACCACAAAGGAGCCTCTTGTTTCGTAAATTCTAACCATCTTTAAATATATGCCCTAGAGGAATGCGTTGTTAGTTTCCTATCCAGGTTGTAACCCAGAACTCCATATATACTTTCAGGGAGCGCTTTGCCCAGATAGTGGTTCACAAATACAACTTAAGTAACACGGGCTTCTTTGTGTACATTCATCAAAGCCCAGATGCCCGATCGAATGAAGCGGAAGATTATGATATTATATATGCATATAAGATAGTTTAGAGGACAGCCCATGTCGCTACCATCAATACGTTTGCTAACGAGAAACAGATTCGAAATGATTCAATCGTGGGGATATCATACGCATAATCACGAACAATGTGGAAATGGAGACCGACATATGCGCTCTCCCTCCCCAGTCCTTCCCCTTCTCCACCTTCAAGTCAAAGTCCGACTAGGGACGGACACTCCATGACACCGTGTCCCCTGATCTTACACAGTGGACACCAGTCACCCACGTTTGTAATATTTGCACCCTCGTTCTAAAAGGCGTCTTCATTTGGGCAGGCCGTAACATCGTGTCCCTCACTCTCGCACAATGCGCACCACTTATCTGGGTCAGCGATAGCTGCACCCTTGGGTGGCACGAGATCAGAGTTTGACGCGTTGAACGAAGGAGTGGGGAGAGGGGCTGTGGGCGCGCTGCCGGGTGGTTTCGATGGGCTAAGAGCAGGGGGCCGGGCGCGATCAGAGGAGACGGACAGGCCGCGGAGGCCTTCGATGACAACGTCTTTGCCGTTGCGTAGACCGTCTTCCTTGGGGTACGAACTATCTCCGCCCATAGCGGAGCAGTTCAGAATGTCGTGGCCGCCTGTTTCGCAAATTTCGCACCAGAGGAGGCTGCTGTTAGCGGAGGAGCGGCCGTCAGATTCCGGCATTGCAGAGAGCGCAGGAGGCGCATCGCGACGAGGGTGCTGAGACGGTTCTCTCCAGTTAACAACAGTATCTTTAGAATCTCGCTCTGACGGCTTTTCTGGTATGGCGGTGTGCTCTGACATGCCGTTGCTGATTACGCTTTCCCGTTGCTCTGCAAGGCCAAGTTGAGCTTTCAGTTTCTCCAGCTCACGTTCTAGCTCTTCTTCCCGGTAGGCTTTGCGTTCTACGAGACCGCGGAGTTCCTCTTTTTCGCGCTCGAGACGTTCTGCGTTTGCTTTCGCGGTTTGGAGCTCCTCGGCGTCAACAGACGAGTTTTGCCGCGACAAAGGTGAGCGCCGGTCATCTCCTCCACCAGAGCTCAATGAATGTATGATGGCCTTCAGACCACGAATCTCGTCGTCGCGTTGCTCGACTTCCCTTTGTCCTGGTGTGTGAGGCGCCTCGACCATTGCGCCAGCCCCCTTAAGAGCAGCAGCAGCCTTTTCGCGCTCGCGACGGAGTTCGGATCTACCTCTCTCGACTTCTCCACGCAGGAACTCGACTTCGCCTCTGGCCTCTGCTTCACCTCTACGCGCGTCTTCCAGGCCTTCTTCCAGCTCTTGTACAAGTTCTTCCAGTTGCTTCAACTGCATTGCTACAGTCTCGACATCTTCACTACGAGACGCATACTCGCGCAACTCTTCTTGTAGCTCCTCTACCTTCTTCTCGTAAACGCGCTCAGTTTCAGTGCTCGCTAGCTCTAGGGTATCGATTGTGCTTCGGAAGTCGGATCGATGTGCGTCGAACTCAGATGTGAGCATAGCGATCTTATCGTTCTTCTCTCTGAGAAGTGCTCGTAGTTGCGCTACATCAGTCGGCTCACTGCTGCCATGCGCCGATCCCATATCCATTCCGTCCTCAGGTATCAAGCTCTGAATTTCCGTCAAACTCGCTTCCATCTCGCTCAGCGACGCTGCTTGCTCCTGAAGCTGCTTCTCCTTTTGTTCCAACTGCGCCTGGAGGCGCTGCACCTCTTCATTCGGAGACGAGCCTAGCCGAGAGCCCGGCCTACGATGCTTGTAGCTGGCCATGGAATCATTGCTGGTTCGCGCTGCACCAACTGGCGTCGTCTCATTGTCCTCCTCAATAGTATCCTGATGACCAAGACGAGAACTGCTTCGCGAGTAGGGTCGTTGGGGACCGGGTGTCCGTGGCTTTGGTGGAGGAGCAGCCCTGGGCGCAGGACTGGCGTAACGAGGAGGTGCGGGACTTGCGAATCTTGGTGGCGCACCGATTGCGCTCTTGGAGAAGCCAGAGGGTGTCAGTCCGCCGCTCCTGGCAGGGGTTGCACTGGGCTTCTGGCGATAGGGAGATTCTGGTCTGAATGAGGGTCGTACTGCTGAGGGTACCCTCTTGGGACTGGTGGTACGGGTGCCGGGGCCGACCGACTGGGAGAACTTGGGCAGTGGCATCGACGGGGTATCCGGACTGAAGCTGGGCTTCTCCGTGGTCGAGAGGCTAAAGTTGTTGTGGTACGAGGGCGTGGTAGGCTCAGGTGCGAAGTCAGACGAGTCGGCCGAGATGCGCTTCTGTGCGCGGTGTACGGGCAGGAAGATGCCAGAGCCAGGGACAGAGGTATCGAAGTATTGTGTACTGGAGAGACATCAGTATGCGCACATACGTCGAGCGTTGTGTATGCGTACCCATCGACTGCGCCGTCGTTCTTGCCCCGCGCTGCATACTCGCGGTTCAGTTCTACTCCCGCGAAGACGCCCTGTTTACCCCGAATGCTGCCAACAAACTTGACGACACCAATCATGCCGCCTGGCACGTCGACCGTGTCGCCGACGTCTATGTCCTTTCCGTCTGCGCCCATCCTGTTTGATGGCGAGCCTCCAGCGCCTACTAATGCTGATAGCGATGCTTGCCGTGCGATGTTTCTGCTGGCGTTTAACGAAAGGTTGGGCGACGAGGCAGTGGGGTGGAGAGCAGGGCGCGCTCCAAGACGCCTAGGAGTGTGCGGGTACGCCATACCGGACGGCTCGTTTGACAGGGTCGACCTGTTTGGAGTGTCACAGGGCAGGCAGGACGGTGTTTGTTTTGATGAGATGGTATGGCAGGGGTTGGACTGCCAACGTAGCGGCGACTGAGGAGCATGACTTAATTAACCGATCGTTGCCCAATCCATCGCACCCCTCGCATCAGGGGAAACGTCTCTCCTTTCCCTCCGCAACCCATCCTTCCACCACACTCTCGTGTCTTCTCGTCGTCTCGTATTTTCTGAAGCATCGTCAAAACTGTCATGAACGGTCGTACTAGACATGGTACACGACAGTAGCGTGCAGATCATCCAAGTATGGGAACGGTCAAAAAGCAAGACGGTTCAATACCAATGACACCATAGTAACGGCCTTGTGCATCGACACGATGAGATTGTCATCTGCATACTAGACAATGCTACTGGCTGTCTGAAGCGTACGAGGTTTCGTAGAGTGAATTGACTTTCACATTTCAGCCACCTCATTCAACCATCCCAGCATTATATCAATGTTATTAGGATGCAAGCCATGTGTCTTCCCGCTCGAAGCCACAAAAGCATAACAATCATATACGCGTAGTTAGTCTCCGATGCAAACCATGTCCTTGCTCGCTGACGCAAGGACGCCGAACCTTGCGCATTGAACGCGTGGGCACGTGAGGACGAGCAGGAGCGGGGGAGACAGTCAGAACTTCCGGCAGCCGCGTGATCGGGCATGATATGTGCTGAAGTCTGGACAGATGAAAATTATCAAAACAAATGCAATAGGCAATAGTTTGATTTCTAGCTGCGAATGTAACAGCGCGATCGAACGACAATAAATTTGATCATCACAAAGGCAAAAGTCACGAAGATTGCAAAACGAAGAAGATAACAGTCCCCCAAGACCGTTATTCTGATACCTTCTCTCGCAATAGCAAAAAAACGTTAAACCATGGAAAAGTCCCTACAGCATCGATTCAGATAACCGCGGAGTCGCAGGCATTCCCGACTCGCCGACCGAGCGCATTTCCCCATGTTCCACAATTGCCTCGGCTCACGCTTCGGTGATGGTCAACCGCGCCAACTACATCACCGCTCGCGCGCCCACACCATGTTTACTCAACAGACGCTTTCAACATGGCTGGCAGCGTACGACAACCAATCGACATCGCCTCGTTGGAGCGCTATGTCACCGCAAATGTACCCGAGATTAAAGTCCCGCTGGACGTGAAGCAGGTCCGTCTGTTCCGGAAGAGCTGGGAACGTGGTGTGGAAACCAGAGCTGATTGATCATGTAGTTTGGTTATGGACAGTCAAATCCAACGTATCAGCTGACCGATAAAGATGGAAAGAAATACGTTCTGAGGAAGAAACCCCCGGGTCAACTCTTGTCAAAGGTATGACGAGGCTTTCCATTCGAGAAGCCCATCACCGTAAGCTGACTTGAAGCTATATAGACAGCGCACAAAGTCGACCGCGAGTACAGAATCATTCACGCACTGGAGAACACAGATGTCCCTGTTCCACGTGCACTATGTCTCTGTCAAGACCAAGCCGTCATCGGCACCGACTTTTACATTATGGACTTTCTCGATGGGCGCATCTTTGAGGATCCTGCGATTCCAGGCGTAACAGCCGAGGAGCGAACGAAGATGTATGAAGTCCTCATAACCATGTAGAAACAAATCACCGTGCTAACAAGTACTCTTAGGTGGCACTCCGCAATCACTACGCTCGCGAAATTCCACCGCGTATCTCCATCTTCTGTAAACCTTTCGTCATATGGCAAGAACTCTGGTTTCTACGACCGCCAGATCGCAACCTTCAACACAATCTCCCAGTCGCAAGCTTCCGCCAAAGACAAGGAGACTGGGGAACCGGTAGGAAAGATACCACACCAGGACGACATGGTGGCCTTCTTCAAGGACCCAAAGACACAGCCAAAAGACCGCGCGACCTTTGTACATGGCGACTACAAGATTGACAATGTTGTCTTTCACAAGACAGAACCCAGGGTAATTGGCATTCTGGACTGGGAAATGAGCACCATTGGGCACCCGCTATCTGATCTGAACAACGTCCTTGCGCCCTACGTGACAGCATCGAATGAAATCGCCATGTCTATCGGGCGCGCGCATAAGGGTTTCCAGCCTGGAGCTACACCCGGGTTGCCTACGCGCGAGCAACTCATCGCATGGTACTCGGAGGTAGCCGGCTGGGACCCGAGACCTGATTTCACTTGGGGCGACGCGTTTAGCACATATAGGAGTGCTATCATCATGCAAGGAATTGCGGCACGGTATGCATTGAGACAAGCGAGTAGCGAGCAGGCGCAGACGTATGCGGCCATGATGAAGCCCTATTCGGAGATTGCATGGGGCCTTGTGCAAAAGTTCAAGAGCGGGCATGAGGAGAGAGCGAAACTGTAGTCCCTTGATCTGTGTAAGCTATGCTATGTATTAGCGAATTCATCTCAAATATGCTGGAATCGTCTGAGAATAGCGTCGTCTGGGAGCTGTAAAGGTGGTCTGTTGATTCTCTGACTCTGAAGATAGAAATGGCCGGGCTCCTTTGCACTTTTCTCTACCAGATTCTTTTATCGAGATCCAAGCCTATCTTTGCCCCAGAAAATTGCCCAAAGCTGGTATCATATGGGTACAGTATCGTCCTGTAAATTTGAAAATGTCAACACATGTTCCACAAGATGTCCTCATGATCGTGGTGCTCTGAGTGGCCAGGCGTCGAAAGGGGCCCGATGAGGCATACCCGTAAGTGTTCGCGCCTCAAACGCCCATGCGCCTTGTAATGCCCTGATTCTGCCATCTGCCATCTGCCTTGCTCTTGCCGTCGTTCGATGTACCACAGATGCCGTGTTACTCGTCGCTTGCGCGTGTAGTCTTCTATCGTCCGATCTTGGGTACGTCCTGGTTGATGCGGTCAAGCGCCTGCGATTTGATTAGCTTTTACTTCTATCCTTTCTGGACTTGGGACTGCATACTTCAAGCATGACCACGGCGTTTCCTCGAATGACAACCATGCCGATGCGCACCTTCTCACCGCCAGCCTTCTCTTCTAGCGCCTCGTCGAGTACAATGTTTAAGTAGACCTACTCAGTGTCAGCTAAGTCTACAAGCGGTGTGGAATGGAGAAACATACATCGTATCCACGGAGGATACCCATGACCTTGCGACTGCCATTGAGCTGGACAAGGACGCGCTTCTCGAGGTACTTTTGGAGGTTAGGATCTGGAGGTATGGGTCGGCGTTGTGAACTCACCTTCTTGAGCTCCGGCTGTGCTTGGGGCATCTTGGCGGGTTTAATTTGTTTTGAGCTTGGGTGCGGCGGTACAAGTTCCTGGTGACGGCTTCAAGTTGGTTTGCTCGTGTTGGTCGTTGGTGAGCTAAAGACGCGCGTGATGTTAGCAAGAGCAGCGTTGCGCATGGTGGTGGGATAGCTCCATGGGATTTTGCGGAGGGCCCGTGCGTAGGCGGCAGCCACGACATGTGCGCGCGAACGCATCTCTTCCACACCATACCCACGGTTTCCATATGACGGAGAGACTTTCCGCATAACAATCCTCATGATGAAGCGATCCGGTTCTACACGCGTCGCGCGCAAGATTGGTAGCTACGATGACGACGAATCCACCGCCGAGAGCGCCAACAACTCGCAAAGCGAAGTACAGAAGCCTACAGGTCAGTCACCAATGATCGCAATTGCCAGCCTTTCTGACGTTGGGGAAACTCACAGCGAATCCCTCCAGGCCGACCTGAAAGCTGGCGACTCTGGTGGCTTTGTGCTAACTGGCCTTGTAGTCGTCAAGCGGCCAACGATTGGTAAAGCAAAGAAGCGCTCATCCATGCGGGTATCTTTCGGCCCAGGCGAAGACGCAAATGACGGCGACGACTCGAGCGACGCAGCCGTCGTGACCCCGAAGAAAGCGAACCTCAGTCGTATAGCCCTAGAGAAGAGTGCGCAACTGCGGGCGCGTTCACCCCTCGTACCAGAAGCCGCTCGACCAACTGAATATAGCAAGGATTACATTGCAGAGCTGCGAAATTCGACGCCATCAACACCTCAGGACTTGAACACGTCCGCCGACGACCAAGAAGAGACGCAAGCCCTCGATATCGCATCGAAATTTGGCCCTGTCGCTTCGCTCGAGGCGTCATCCGCAATCCCCACAGAAGCTGAGATTCGAGAGAAGAAGGCGCGAAGAAGACGTTTAGCCCTTGAGGAGAACGCCATAGACGATGAGGACCGCGCATGGGCATCTGACGATCAAGGAGAGGACGAGTTCAGGCAACACAGGAATGAAATCTCTCTACGGCCGAAGGACAAGTATGCAGAGACGCGTCTGATACATGACGATGAGGATATAGCCGAGGGCTTTGACGATTTTGTTGAAGATGGCAAGATCTCGCTCGGTCGCAAGTCAGAAAGGGAAGCGCAACGGAGACGGCGTGCGGAAATGGCAGAACTTATCAATGACGCCGAGGGTGGCTCAGGAGATGACGGGACAGAGGACTCGGACGAAGAGAGAAACACCGCTTTCGCAGCAGCTCAAGCACGCGCAGGGCGATACGGCCAGAAGATCGAAGACGAAGACGACGGTACGAAGACACCTCCGCGCATCACGCCCCTGCCAGACTTGGACGAGGTCCTCGAGGGTCTCACAATCGATATACAGACAAAGCAGCAGAAGAAGAACTTGATCTTGCAGAAGCTGCAAGATCTAAAAGACGACAGGGTTAGGATTGAGGAGCGGAAGAAGTATCTCCAAGAGCAACTGCAGAAAACAGGCGACGAGTATGAAAAGTTACGCCAGGAGTCAGGTCTTCCTGCGCTACCGGCAAACAGTGCTGAGGGAGGCCGCTTGATCACAGAGAGGGGGTTGGACAGTTTGGGTACTACTCCTTTGGCCGGCACTACACCAATAGCTGGTAGATCTGGCGATGAGTCTGATGTTGAGTAGCGTTTGTTTGAACTGGACTTTCTAGCTCTAGCAGGGAGATGCTGGGCTACCTGTGCAGTAATATTAAGAACATCATTCATGAAAGCGCCTGAATGCTCCTGTAACGCCTGATGACTGCCATGATATAATACAAAAGCCTGAAAGCTCTCTGACGATCGTGTCCGTAAACTCCCATCCATATGCAATTCCTCTTCGCAGTGTGATCTGCACACGCGCCTAGTGCCTCTATCGCACGTCTTTCTTCCCTCTCATGCTCATTTGTTCTCGTCCAACTCCTTCCACACCTTCTGTATTCTCTCCCTCTTCTCCTTAGCCGCCTCGCGATTCGCCTTTGTCTTCTCAAGTCGCAGCCCGCGCAGGCACATGTTGACTTTGTATTTCGCGTCAGTGCAATTGCCCGTCACTTTCCAGAGGAAGCCTTGGTTGTGGCATTCTTCTAGCGCTGCGACGACATCTGCGCAGTCTTGGGGGTAGGTGTTAGAAAGGCCGAGTAGGATTGGCAGAGGGGAGGGGTGGCGCACTCTTTTGAACTTCTTCGGTGTGTAGATGAGGATGCATCGTGGATGTGCGCGGGCTTTTTCGTTTGCAACGATGTCTGGTACGAATGCTGGAGAGTACTTTATGAAGCTGTGCTGGTGGGCCGAGTCGGGACGGGATCTTGAAGACCTCGAAGTTGCCGACGAATCGTTGAAGATCTGGTGAACTACGTCCGAGCGCGCGCGCCTTCACGCGGAAGCCACTTCATATCAAAACCCTCAAGATTCGCGTGGATTTTCTACTCTACTCGTGTCACGTTCTTTTACCCTTCGCTGGACGTCACGAGTATCTTTCCTCTTTAGGCGTGCGTACCACGCCTTGAGTCAAGAATCTTCTTTCTCCTCCGAGTTCCCCGCAACGACCGTCGACGCTGCTCCTCCCAGGATACACATCAAAAAGTTACGTCGTCAATATGGCGTCTCAACAACAGTTGAAGAAGCAGCAAGGTATATGGTGGCGATAATTGATTCTGTCGAACTCGCTGACCCGTGAACAGAGCTCCAAACCACATATCAAAACTACAAGGTCAGGAAAGATGGTACCCACGTAGGATATGCAAACTGATTATATGCCAAGAACACACTTCAAACGATTGCCTCAAAGATTGGCGATATCGAACAAGAGACTGAAGAGCACAAGTAAGTTTGGACTATATCACAACTATGAAGCCACGATACGCCATCTTTCGCAAACCTTCTTACACCGCTTCTCCCTTGCGCCAGCCTTGCATCGCTCCATGACTTAGGATTCCTAGTGCTATTACACTGCTCTCTATCCCCATTACGACACAGGAAATACTGACAAACACCAGACTCGTCTTGGAGACGCTGCAACCACTGCCAGGAGACCGGAAATGCTTCCGCATGATCAACGGTGTCTTGACTGAGCGAACGGTCAAGGACGTTGTACCGATCCTACAGACCAATTCAGACGGTCTGAAGCAGGCACTAGAAGAGCTAGTCAAGCAGTACAAGTTGAAACAAGATGAAATGGAGAAGTGGAAGGTACGTCCGCAGTGCGCTGGAATCTTGCACAGCTTTGAGCCAGGCTTCTGTTTCGAGACTACAAGACTAACTCTGCCGCTATAGAAGAAGAACAATGTTCAAGTCGTCCAACAGCCAGGGCAATAGAAAAATACCAGTCATGCAATGACCCTTTGACAGGACGGGCACACTGCATACGCTGGGAACCACATAAGATGATGCAGACGAGTACAGCAGCAATGTCTCCAGTAACTGGAACTGGTATGGATGCAGAGGGACCCTGTCAGGGTTTTGTGTGTTTCATGGCGGAGTATACGGCCGCAATTGGGTATCTCTGTGTTCTGATTTTGCACAGCATACCACAGCAGAATAACATAGCCTCTTGACGACAAGTGAAGGCTTGCCGGTGAACAGCGTCTATATCAATCGTGTAGTATACCTCACACAATCATACGGGAGACCAAATTCCATGGTTGAACCAGCCACAACAGATCCGAATAGCTGGACATTCAGCTACTGTTCTTCCAATCAGATTCACATGCAACTTGAATGGCCCCACAAGCTCCCAACTACGTAAGTGCTTACCAGAGTGAAGGATCTAGGACTCCACCGTTGTCTCAGCACGTGCTCCTAAACCCAGGGGTCTCTGCAAGATGCGTTGTCCAGTCGGCTCCTACTCAAACCGACGCACTGATCTGCACCATCTCACCCATGAAATCGGACACGTAGCTTATAGGCTACCGGCAAAGTCTTCACAGAGAATGACGAACGGTCCGGGGGTCGAGTCGTTAGTGGCTGACCTGACCGTCATCTTGTGTGTTGGCTTAGTGAAGCTGGAGCAAGGCTGTATGCAACATGTGCAAGAGCCCAACGAACAGCGATGATTACTGACGTCGGTGAAGGCTGGGATCATGCCAGGAGGAGCTCCAACAAGACATGTTCTTGCTGAATGTCATCTGTGGCTGCAGTGGTGACGACGCGGCAGAGATATAGGACGTGGGGTGGTGTTGGTAGGGCTGCCGAATGATAGCTGCTGATGCGACTCGCATACAGGATCGCCAGCTAGCCTGAGGGGTCTGCAGTAGGCAAGGTTCCAGACAGACGGTATGCCGGTGATGCGACCGGTCCGAGTCTTGGAAAAACATGTCCTGCAAAAGGGTTGGAATGCTACAGGGACGAAGTCGAGGTTTGATGTTGCTGCTGTGCTAGGAAAGGAATGCTCAAGAAAGTCAACCATGTTTCGGTCGGCACGGGCCGGGATTGGTGCGGGCGGCCGAGTTTCTCCTCGTCCCCTACATTCCATTCGCTCGTAGTCGTGAAAGCCAAATCCACCGTCTCTCCACGCACCAACGCTATCGCCCGTCCAAGCTCCATCCTCCCCCATCTTCTCCTTGCGCTCCTATTGGTAGGCGCGTCATTCATCGCTCCAACGTCGCGACGTCAAGTCGCCATTGCCAACACTCACGCCTAACTGCGCCCGAATAACGCCCTTGATTCAACCCGGACCACGGCCTGCTAGCTGCCACTCTCACCTGCATACCGTCCCACCGCTACTCTCACGACACGGTCAGTGAATCGCCAGTGTCGCACACGAGATCGTGCCGCCGACGGTAATACACCAACGTCACTCTGTGTCGCAACTGCCCCGGTCGCGGTCGCGTCTGCTACTGTCGCAAGCCGCTCCTGCCACTTGCAGCGCACGTGTAACGCCAGCATCGCGAATAGCCCCAGGCGTCACCACGAGTAGTAGTTCACACGACGCTCCCTTGCGCCGTGCTCTCCGTTGTCGCCGCTCCCCACGTACGTTAGCTGCATCCCATGCTGCCTGCTGCATGCCACTAACCGCTTCTCTCGCCAGGCATCTCATTACACCACTGACCGCAGGTTGCATACTCGGCCGCCAAGTTGTGCCGTCGTCTCTCCCAGTGACGTGGTCGCCAACGGAACAGTCGCCAGCGCATACGCTTCCGAGCAGGCAACCGATAATATGTCGGCCTCTCCCCCAAAACAGGAGGGCGTGGAACCAGTCCAGTCGCCTGACGAAGAACAGCCCATGGACAGGAACACAGAGGAGAACACAGCTCAGATAGGTTACGAATTCGAGGTCAAGGAGCAAGACCGATGGCTTCCAATCGCCAATGGTACGTCTATTTCCCTTGCTGCTTCCCGCCAGTTTGATTTGCGCACTGTTTCGCTCCAGCCTGCACGTCGACAGATTGCTCCAACGGGCGTCTCTGGATGCCGACAGTTCCTCCACTCGCGCGTCTCTACGTCGAATCACGGAAAGCTGTACCTGCCGCAAGCCACTCAGATTCTCTGTGTGCCTGGAAAACGGCCGGCGTGCAGCCTACGGAATGTCGTCCTCTTCTCCCCACTCGTCCATTTCCCCACCGTTGTCTACGCCAAAGAGCACAAACGCGAACAGCAGTACCGCATCCGATGCTAACATACGTAACTTTGCTCCAGTCGCGCGAATCATGAAAATGGCGCTCCCCGACAACGCCAAGATAGCCAAAGAGGCCAAAGAATGCATGCAGGAGTGCGTGAGCGAGTTCATCTCATTCATCACCAGCGAGGGTATGTCTTACTCCGAGTCTTTCTGATACAACCACTGAATGTTTCGCCAGCGTCCGAAAAATGCCAGCAGGAAAAGCGCAAGACCGTCAATGGCGAGGACATTCTGTTTGCCATGACTTCACTCGGCTTCGAGAACTACTCAGAGGCCCTCAAAATCTACCTATCCAGGTATCGCGAAGTAAGCTGCCAACTTTTCTTACCCCCCTTCTGTCCTTCTTTTGTTGCCTACTATTTGGCCGAAACGTTTATCTGAACTATTGGTATTGATTGGTGGTACGAGACCCTCCTCGCAAATCAGAACAAGCCACCCACTGGGCAGTTCGGTTCATCCGGGTCCGGCGGGCCCGCAGGCCCAGAGGGTCAACAGCATGTACTGAGTGGCGACTCCGAAATGGCCGAAGACGGCACCGCCTTTGGATACACGGTCCACAACGGAAACGGGAACGAGTACTAGTCGATTCGGGCTCCGATGGTCAACACGGAACGAGAAGAATAGAGCAGAGATTGCTTAGAGCATCTGTACTGCACCTTGACCATTGGAAAGGAAGAAGATCTCGAATGAACGAAGAAGAGACGGGGATTTTGATACCATTGTTATGGTCAGATTGTCATAAACGCGCCACTGTCGCTTACAGTCGGAGGATCATGTTTAAGGTTATGAGGCGTGGAACGGATGTACACAAATCTATTGCTGGATCTCACCCGAGGATCTTGTTACGAAAAGGGCTACGATTGGCTGGAGTAGGACAGGACACACATGGGCAACCACGATACCTTTTCGATTCTTGCTCTTCACTGGGTTACTGGTCTAGATCTTTCTTCTTGCTCACACGAGCTTCACAACATTCATTACATTCTTGGGCACAATGCCATTCTTTTCGCAACGCATTGCTGTGAACATCCTCTCATAGGAATGATGTTGAGGTCATATGTTCGCCCTTTCAGTGACTGTCTGCGGCTGCGGCTGCGGCTTGTCTTCGAGCGATAAGTTCGCTCAATGGCAGGTCATCGTCTTGCTCGTCGTAGAACTCTACATCTTCATCCACCCCGAAGTCCTTCAATCGCTCGCCCTCTGAATTTCGCCACGCTGCCTCGCCTTCTCTCCCTTTGCCACCCTTTGTCCTCTCAAGCTCTTCTTCTTCTTCTTCGTATCCAACTTCGTCGCTCGCATCATCCCCGTACGTAAAGTCCTCTTCATTTCTACCCAATTCAGCATCGTCCTCTTCTCTATCCGTCGCTCCAGCATACGGCCTCCTTCTCCTCACTGCATCCTCCGCTTGTCTCGCCTTGAACGCAGCCACAGTGTCCTCTGCGTTCAGCTCTGATTCCGCATACCGGAATGCATCAGCATTAACCGCTGTCGCATTCCTCCTGTACGCACGATCTGGGTCTGGAGGCGGCCAAACCGTGCCCTCATCCTCAAAGCCGTTCGTCTCGAAACTCAGACCACTACTCAAACTGGGTGTAGCAGCAAAAGGGTTGAACCAGTTTATTGGATTCCTTGAGTTCATACCCTGGACCATGTTCGACCAGATTCCGATATCGTACGGGAATTCTTGTTTCCGGATCCGCATCTTGTTGCCTTCTGGGGTGGTGAGGTAGCCGCCGTATTGGCGAGCACGGCGTAGGAGGGTCTTGTGGCGTTCGATCTCCCATCCTTCGATTGTTGTCTGATTGATAGAAAGGCACCAGAGGTTTCGTAGGAGGAGGACACCCAGGACGAAGAGGGTGATTGAGTTTGTGATTAGGACAGCAAACATGTGGCCTAGTTGGAAGGGTGAGGGACCGAGGTAGGAGGGCATGTCCAGATTGGACCAGAGGTGAGAGAGGCGGGTGAAGAGGAATGATTGGAGGAGGGAGAGTCCTAGGGTAGTATATAGGAGGAAACGCACGAAGTGAGGAAAGGTCGTGTGGCTAACGCAGTTGTTTGTCCAGGGGCAATGGTGGTCCATCTTGGGAATACATCTGGTAGTTGTCAGCCTGGCTCGCTGATATTTCGGGCCAGTCAATTGGCGTCGAGGTGACGATCGTGACGATTGTAATGCCAATACGTGGTTGACCGGACCCATTCGAAATGCAACACATCATCAACCCCAGAACGAGATATAAGATGGATATCTACCTTTTGCATTCCTTACAGTGATGGGCTCTAGGTGGTTTTGCAGCATCGCACTTTCGACACCATTTCCGGCTCTTTCCTATGCCGTCTACCCCGGTCTCTTTACCTGACAGATCAGCATTTCCCTTCCCTTTCTCCCCGTCCAACTCTTGCTTCCCAGCCCAATCTTTCGGTATCGTTCCCGCATCAACGAAGACACTCTTCGTGTACGTGATTAGAATCAGTACCAAGAGGACATTCGACACAATGAGCTCGTTTTTTGTGAGCGGAGCGGGCTCCAGATGCATCAGTAGCCATTGTGAGGGATAACCGAGAAAGAAAATGAGAACGTAAACAGCGGGAACCGCACATTGGGAGATTTCCATTATTCTGGTAGCATTTGGGTGGAATGATGGGAGGTGGTAAGGGGCGGGATGATGCGGAGGTCGCGTCGTGTAGGTTCGCAAGTGGATCGCGAAGACACGTGATTGGACGACCACCTAAAAGCAACAGCTTACACTATTCGTCCATCGCATCTCTCAACCACAACTTTCCATCACCCCCATCTCCTGCCCGCAGAGCTTCCGATGCTCTGTAAGCTTCACGAATGCCATGTCTTTCCTAACATGGCCGTTCTTCCTCCTCATACCGGCTTTCGTTCTATTACACCTGTTCGTTTCGCCGTACACGAAAGTTGAGGAATCATTCAATATCCAGGCTATTCATGATATCTTGGTACATGGAATACCTACAGAGAACTCTGATCAGTTCTTGACATCGAACTACGATCATGTCAGTTTTCCTGGGAGCGTGCCAAGGACTTTTGCAGGCGCTCTGGTCTTGAGTGGGTTGAGCAGGCCGTTTGTTGGGCTGTTAGGGGATATGGCCCAGGCACAACTGCTCAGTGAGTAAACACAGAAATTTTGCATGAAAGAATTTCGGGACTGATTACATGTGTGTAGTCAGGGCAGTACTTGGGCTACTCAATGCGGCCTCGCTCATTGCATTCGGAAGGAGCGTGCAGAAAGCTTTTGGTACTAGTGCTGGTGTTTGGTATGCTTTGTTCCAAGCAAGCCAATTCCATGCCATCTACTATGCTTCGAGGACGCTGCCCAATATGTTTGCTTTCGTGTTCAGTAAGTCCATATGATGTGTCCCATGCACTTCTTGGCTGATGTCGATGTAGGTAACTTGGCGTTACGAAGCTTGTTGCTCGCATACACCGTACCATGGAGCACTTCAAATATCTCAGGGTACTACCGACTGACCTTGTATCTACTCACGGTCGCGGGTGTGGTCTTCCGCTCGGAGCTAGCAATCTTAGTGGGAACAATCACCATCTATCTGTTCATCACACGAAGGATCTCGATCACAAATGTCATCATCCCAGCTGGAATTGGTGGCCTCGTCATTGGGCTCCTCTGCACCGTGCCTTTGGATTCCTTCTTCTGGCAGTCTTTCCCGCTTTGGCCCGAATGGACGGGCTTCTATTACAACACCATCCAAGGACATTCGGCTGATTGGGGCGTATCACCATGGCATTATTACTTTGCAAATGCACTACCACGACTACTACTGAACCCAGCGACGTTTTTGCTTTGCATTCCAGTTGCAATCATGAACACATCGACGTCCAGGCGAAGCTTGGATCTGCTCGTTCCACTACTTAGTTTTGTGGCACTTTACAGCTTCCTTCCGCACAAAGAATGGCGCTTTATTCTCTACGTAATACCGGGTCTAACTGCAGTGGCTGCAGACGGAGCAGCTTGGATCTGGACTCGCAGATCAAAATCCTTTGTATACGCCACTCTGAGCTTGGCCTTGCTAGGATCAGTTTTGGTATCATTCGCTGCATCTACTGCGATATTGGGTATCTCCAGCCTCAACTATCCCGGAGGCGAAGCTCTTCATACCCTACACAAAGAGATGGGACATCCGGACAGAAACCACTTTAGCGTGTACTTCGATAATCTAGCTTGCCAAACAGGCGTCACACGTTTTCTAGAGAGCCACAGAGGACCCCAGACGGTACTTGATGTTCTTGAAGCACGGGATACACTGAATAGCAGAACATGGACATACGACAAGACCGAAGACCCAGACGCACTTCTAGACCCAATGTTCTGGACCAAGTTTGACTATGTTCTTGCTGAGAGACCAGAGAAGGTGATTGGTAGTTGGGAGGTAGTTCATACTGTGTATGGATTTGGCGGAGTCAGACTTCTGAAGCCAGGAGAAGAGAGCGGCTTGCTGGTCGAGTATTCGGATACAACAGAAGAAAAGGTCACATCGCAAGACAAGTGGGCTTCCAAGGTTGCAGCGACATGGCATGGATTGGAAAAGCTATTAAGGAATGGCCTATTGCGAGGATACTGGGCTGAGATTCGGATGGAGCCAAAGATCCATATCTTGCAGAACCAGTTGAAATAGTCGCTCTATTACGTAGTCATGGGTAATCACAAGTTCAAGTACGCAAGTCTGAGATTTGGGCATTCGGTGAAAGTGTCAGTCGCGTTGAAGGACCCCTGCCTTGCGTCGCATACCCCGCCACGCTTTCCTGCCCCACCAAGCTCTCTCTTTCGCGTCTACACCAGTCTCATCACTCAACTCAGCTGTTGTCAACTATCGATAGTACTTGATAACTTGAATCACACTACTTTTGCACAATATGTCAGCCGACGCATTACCGAAACCGGTCGTCTACTGCGGAGGCGAGTATTTCCACGATATACTCTACGACAACGGCTAACAAGAAATAGTGTGCAGTCTACCACCTGAAGTAGGTATGACGCCGAGACATGTTTGGAGAGAGCGAGTAACTAACCACATTGTTCCATAGTACTGCGAGTTTGGTGGCACGACCAAGAAGTGTGAGGAATGGCTGGCAGAGGCGCATCCAGATCTGCACGCGAAGCTGTATTCAGCAGGTACGTCTAGCACACCATATCAAGAAACCTATAACGCGCAATGGCTCTGAGGACAAACTTGGATGCTAACGTCCTTCTAGAAGCGCTACAGCAGAACATGGCCTCGCTCTCCGTCGACGCCCAAAAACGCGCCGAGAAAGACGCACAGAAGAAAGCGGCCAAAGCCGCAACCGCCGAAGCACGAGCAGCTGAGACACGCGCCTCCTCCAAGATCCTCATCAAACGCATAGAACGTAACAAGCGCAAATACGTCACCGCCGTACAGGGTTTGGAAGCCTTCGGTCTCGACATTAAGAAGGTTGCCAAGGACTTTGGCAAGAAGTTCGCTACGGGATCAAGTGTGACCAAAATCCCGGGTGGGGGCGAGGAAATCACTGTGCAAGGTGATCTGAGCGACGATATCTTGGAGTTCATGGTGGAGAAGTACGAGGTACCTGAGGATAACTGCGAGTTGGTAGAGGACAAGAAGAAGAAGAAGGCCGAGGGAGGTTGAACGGCTTGAAGGAGCGTAGCAGGTGTGAAGAGACGCGATATCAAAACATTGCGAAAGCCTATGGAGCGTGAGGTGTGTATCAGTATAAGCGTAGGAGTTGTTTGCGACCAGTGCGCGAGCTGAAGATGAAGGAGCATTCGACGCGTCTCTCTTCTAGGATGCGCAGAGCCTCGTGTTTCCCCATTTTATAGAAAGCCTCATTAGTGCACAACGAGTCCATGATGTTGAAATACACGAGATTGAAGATTCGGACCTACCAAAACAATACCAACATGCTTTTCAAGAAAGACGGGCTACCTGTCCTATATGTGAGCACGAAGGGTCATGGTAATGTGATGGTGGCACGTGCGTGCTAGCTGCCTGTCGGAAGCTCCTAGGGCCATCATTTTTCTCGGACCGTTGCCTCTCACTTACATCCAACCTTAGGGCGCGTCCACAGCCCGACTTGTATCAATCGCACGGCCATTTTCTTTTCTTCGCTCTAAAGGACACGGCGACACGACAGCTCGCTGTACAAAAGTCCTATAATTTGTACGTCGCCTACTGGAGAAGGCGAAACTAGAAGCGCAAGCCGCGCCAGATCACGATACCCACCGCCACCATGTCGAAGGACCAGAGCAATCTCGGGCAGTACAAGTATGCGGCCATGTCGAATTTGGTCCTGCAGGCCGACAGGCGCCTCATATCGCGTCGGCCAGATGAGCATACTGGCGATCCTGAATCGCTCGCAGGTCGCATCAACATTAGAGACATGGGCGGGCGCACAGCGCGCGACAGCGCGAATGCGCAAGCAAAGAAGCTCAAGGGGCCTGGCGTTGAGCGAGGAAATCTGAATGAGGGTGGCGATGTTCTCGAGAGAGAGCAGCGCAAGAGGAAACGGGACGATGGCACCAGTGGTTTTGGAGCGATCGCGACGGCCGACCTCAACATCGAAGGCCTCACATACAAGCCGCGGACTCCTGCGACGCGCCAGACTTTCGACCTCATCACAACCATTGTGAGCAGATCCCTTGGCGACGTTGATCCTGCGACTACACGAAGTGCAGCCGATGCGGTCCTCGAATACCTCAAGGATGATACCATGAAGGACTTTGACAAGAAGAAAGAGGTGGACGATCTTCTTGGTACCTCGATGGGCGCAAAGGAGTTTAATGAGTTGGTGAACCTTGGCAAGAAGATTACCGATTACGATGCACAAGACGACGAGGAAGGTGGTGATGAGGAGATGGCAGACGGCGATGGCGCTGACGCCGGCGACAACCAGGGTGTAGCTGTCGTTTTCGACGACGAAGAGGAGGACGAAGACGGGCCTCAAACATTCGAAGTGCGAGATGCCGATACATCAGACGAGGAAGATGAAGCAGAGGCTCCCGTAGAGCAGATCGGAGAAGACCAGGACCAAAAAGATGGAGGCTTTGCGGAAACAGAGGAGACGATAATACAGGGCGACACCGTTACCTCAGACCGCAAGAACAGCGCAGACCAACTTATACCCGCACACGAAATCGATGCGTACTGGTTGCAACGGCAGATCGGACAAATATACGAAGATGCGCATATTCAGCAAGAAAAGACACAGGATGCGCTCAAGTTCCTTGCAGGAGTCTCGGAAGATGGCGAGGAGAAGGAGCTCCGTGAGATCGAGAACGATCTGATGGACCTCTTCGATTACGAACATCACGAGCTTGTTGCGAAACTCGTTCTCAACCGCGATAGGGTCGTTTGGGTAACAAGGTGGCGGAGGGCTGCCGAGGACAACGATGAGCGAACAGCCGTCGAACGGGAGATGAAGGCTGCAGGTCAGCAACGGATCCTACAAGAGCTTCGCGCAAGAGAGACCGGTATCAAGGCTGAGGATGGGTCTGAAACTGGCACTGGCAAGATGAAGTTCAACCTCAAGGACATCAGTCTTCCAGAGACCTCAAACGATGTGGAGATGGCTGATGCAAAACCAGAGGGCATTGTGGGTGGCCTGCAACCATCGAGCCGACTCGTGAATCTGGACAACATTGTTTTCGACCAGGGCAACCATCTCATGACAAACGCAAGTGTCAAGCTGCCCCAAGGATCTACGCGACGTCAATTCAAGGGTTACGAGGAGATCCACGTACCTGCACCAAAAGCGAAGCGTGACCCTAACGAGCCAGCTCTGATGCCTACCTCTGAGCTACCAGACTGGGCGCGACCAGGTTTTGGTAGCTCGAAGTCGCTCAACCGTATCCAAACAAAGTGCTTTCCCACAGCGTTTAACGACGATGGCAACATGTTAATTTGCGCTCCCACTGGTTCCGGAAAGACTAACGTTGCGATGTTGACAATGCTTCGCGAGATTGGCAAGCACCGAAACCCCACGACTGGGGAGATTGCTCTGGACGATTTCAAGATCATCTATATTGCCCCCCTCAAGGCTCTCGTCGCTGAACAAGTTGGTAACTTTGGCAAACGTTTGGAGCCATACGGCATCAAGGTTTCCGAACTTACTGGTGACCGCCAACTCACCAAGCAGCAGATCGCAGAGACCCAGATCATCGTCACCACCCCTGAGAAGTACGACGTCATTACCCGCAAAGCTACCGATACCAGCTACATAAATCTTGTTCGCCTGATTTGTATAGACGAAATTCATCTTCTGCATGATGACCGTGGTCCTGTCATTGAGAGTATCGTCAGCAGAACTCTACGACGTAGCGAACAGACTGGAGATCATGTTCGCATTGTCGGATTGAGTGCGACCCTTCCCAACTACCGCGATGTTGCGAGCTTCCTGCGCATTGACCCAGACAAGGGCCTGTTCCACTTCGACGCTACCTTCCGACCGTGTCCGTTAAAGCAAGAATTCATCGGTGTCACAGACAAGAAGGCCATCAAGCAACTGAAGACGATGAACGACGTCTGCTATACCAAGGTTCTGGAACAGGTTGGCGGAAAAGGTAATCAGATGCTTATCTTCGTGCACTCCCGAAAGGAAACCGCGAAGACTGCCAAGTACATCCGTGACAAGGCACTCGAAGAAGAATCTATAGGCAAGATTCTTCGGACAGATGCTGCCAGTCGGGAGATCTTGAGAGAAGAATCTGAGTCGGTTCAGAACACTGATCTGAAGGACGTGATGCCTTACGGTTTCGGTATCCATCATGCGGGTATGTCGCGAGCGGATCGTACTACAGTAGAAGATTTGTTTGCCGATGGTTCCATCCAAGTTCTCGTATGCACAGCGACATTGGCTTGGGGTGTCAACCTGCCCGCGCATACCGTCATCATCAAGGGAACGCAGATCTACTCCCCTGAAAAGGGAAGCTGGGTCGAACTCAGCCCTCAGGATGTCCTCCAAATGTTGGGTCGTGCCGGTCGACCTCAATACGATACTTATGGAGAGGGTATCATCATTACCACACAGTCTGAGATCCAGTATTACCTATCGCTACTCAATCAACAATTGCCCATTGAGTCGCAGTTGATCAGCAAGCTCGCGGATAATCTCAACGCCGAGGTCGTTCTCGGTAACGTGCGCAGCAGAGACGAAGCCGTAGATTGGCTCGGCTACACATACCTTTTTGTCCGAATGCTTCGATCGCCGGCTCTGTATCGGGTTGGAGCAGAATACGAGAACGACACCGTACTGGAGCAAAGACGTGTGGATCTTGTTCACGCTGCCGCACACGTCTTAGAGAAGTGCAGTCTTATCAAGTATGACAGAAAGACTGGTGCGCTCAACCCGACAGAACTTGGAAGAATTGCCTCCCATTACTACATCACACACAACTCGATGGCGACATACAACATGCACATCCAACCGGGTATCAGCGCTATCGAGCTATTCCGAGTCTTCGCTCTCAGTGAGGAATTCAAGTACATTCCCGTACGTCAAGATGAGAAGCTCGAGCTTGCGAAGTTGCTGGGCAAAGTCCCTATTCCGGTCAAGGAGGGTGTCGAAGAAGCACAAGCGAAGATCAATGTTCTTCTCCAAGCTTATATTTCTCGCCTCAAGCTTGAAGGATTGGCACTAATGGCTGACTTGGTCTACGTCACGCAATCTGCTGGGCGTATTCTTCGTGCCATCTTTGAGATCTGCCTGAAGAAGGGTTGGTCACAAGTTGCAAAGCTCGCTCTAGACATGTGCAAGATGGCTGAAAAGCGTATGTGGCCGACCATGACGCCTCTTCGCCAATTCCCCACCTGCCCCAGAGATATTGTACAGAAGGCGGAGCGTATCGATGTTGGCTGGTCGAGTTACTTTGGCCTTGATCCACCTAGCATGGGTGAACTATTGGGTATGCCCAAGGCTGGTAAGCTTGTCTGTGGTTTAGTGGAGAAGTTCCCACGCCTCCAGATTGAAGCGACACCGCGACCAGTAACAAGGTCGCTACTACGCCTGGAGCTGACAATTCGACCTGACTTCGTTTGGGACACAGAGCTTCACGGCGCTTCTGAAGCATTTTGGATTCTGGTTGAGGACTGCGATGGCGAGCAAGTATTGTTCCACGACACCTTCATTCTCAGACGGGACTACTCAGATGGCGACGCCAATGAACATCTGATGGAGGTGACAGTGCCCATCGATGAGCCTATGCCTCCGAATTACTTCATCACCGTTCTCTCCGACCGATGGATGGCATCCGAGACCAAGCTTGCTGTCTCTTTCCAGAAGTTGATTCTGCCGGCAAAATTCCCTGCTCACACCCCTGTCCTTGATCTCCAGCCTTTGCCAGTTTCTGCTCTGAAGAGGAAGGAGTACATGGGGTTGTACGAGAACATTGGACGCTTCAACAAGGTTCAGACACAAACTTTCAATACCCTGTATACGACCGATGACAATACCCTGATTGGTGCATCGGCAGGTATTGGCAAGACCATTTGCGCTGAATTCGCCATCTTGCGACACTGGGCTACCAACAACGAAGGGCGCATTGTCTACCTTGCACCATTCCAGGAGCTTGTAGACAACCAGTACAAGAACTGGAACGAGCGGTTGACAAGTCTCAGTGGAGGCAAGGACATTG